ACATTAAACGAGTACATGATACAATAAAATAACTACAATACAAGGAGGGAGACGAAAATATCCACCGTTGATTGTCGCAAGTCCAAGAGCACGGTATGAAGTTCCTACGAGTAACATTCAAAATTTGAACGTAGGAACTCTATACCTCGCTAGTGGTCATTGCCGTTAAGTGTCCGTGAACGTAGATTGATGACGATGATGTGGCGGTCGATGTCGTTGTAGTTGGAGAACTAAAGTAGCAGGTAGTTGTCAGCGCACTGAAGACTACACTAGTGGCGTGGAAGAATCAAGAACGTGAAGTGAGCAGCAGGCGGGCCTGTCGACCACCATATGGGGGGAGGGGGGTTATCTTTTTTTTACTTCGATTATGTATTAAAAAAAAAAAAAACAACGTAATACTCACGAGTGAGAATTTGTTTAGAAATAAATTTGAAAATCGAAACTAACTCTTTTGTAAAACTTTGATATTTAATATTTTCTTGCAGTTACTTTTGTGTTATGTCGTCCACGGGGTGGACAAAGAATGGTCCACTTTACACACCACGTGTACGTGACGAACAATTGATGAAGTTTATTAGAAATAAAATCGAAATACTAAATATTCTTCGCAAAAGAAATTTATAATGAAAAAAATGTAGATCGACAGACCGAATATACGTTAGCGGTAAACCCACGCCCTTTAATGCAATTTAAAAATTAGACGTAGATGTTAAGACCACGCGGTATTTTTTTTACGTTAGGCGGAAAAGGTCGAAAAAAAATAATACACAGTCGGTTTTCAGAAAATAATAATTAAATAGTAAATTAATATTATAGTTAACATGAGCTGAAAAATGTCCAAATGTAAAAAATAATTGGACGAAAACCATGTGATGATGACGCGACACATGGTGCAAGTGAGCACGATCACGCCCTTCAGTAAATCAAGAGAACGCGCTCGCAAGGAGGAAAAAAGCATAAAATTTACATTTTTTATTTAATTATTTGTAAAAACTACAAGAAATTTTATATACACGTGAAGAAAGAATGAAAACATAAAAGAAATTCGAGACTCACCTGCAATGGTCTGCAGCGGTGCCACCGGTCTGATGTCGAGTAAGTGTATGTTTATTATGTTTGCGTGCCGGTGCGGCGTAAGAGATAGTTGACAAGCACAACCGATCGTCAAGGCGGTGGCGGAGAAAAGGACGGTGTGACCACCAGTGGTCGGACGCGCCGCGTTCGCTCGGCCGGAATCGGCGACCGTCGGGCCGCGCCACTTGTCCGCCACGCAATCATCACCGTCGTTATAGATGATAAGTTGGTGGGGGGAAAGATGCGCATGCGTACAGAGCATTGTCGCGATCCGCTTTCCACTTTGTCATCATTACCGCCAGCGCCACGTCAAATTCTCAAATGCTACCACCACTCCGCCAGTACAACCGTATGTCCGAGCCACGGCGACCGATATTACCGGACACGCGCAACCTTCGCTCGTACGCGACAACTGTTTAAGAATGTACTACTGGCGCGCTATGTTAACCGCCAAAAACTAACGAAACGCACTGAAGACGCGAAGGCACTTTCAAAAATGATTTTATATAGTTTTTACGGCCCCACCTGACGAACTCCCACTAAACTGAAAGCGATCTGCGCTGCCTCGGGCATAGGTATATGGGTAGGTTGGTTAGGTATACCCACCGCATGAAATCGACATCGTTCGTTAATATTATGTGATTCTAGAATGCAATTATTATTGTTAATATTATTGTCTCGAAAAATTTGTGAAAACGATTTAGGGAACTAACGTTTTTGGAAATTATTATAACCATGATTTTTGCGCTTTGAAAAATAAATTAAAATCTTATCTACATATATAAAGTATATATGAAATACGCTATACATCACCTGACGTCCTGACCTGTGATCATTGTACAGTACATTACTATATTAAATCGTACCTATATTATGTTACTGCCACCTAGTGGATTTGAAGAGAAATAATTTAAATAACCAAGTCGCGACTATACTAAATCTAAGTATTCTATATTATATGCAGTATATTTTTATGTCGTTTGTGTTTTTGTTAAGTTTTCAGAATAATTAATAATAAACCTAAGTAAAATAATATAAAATCAATTTTATATTATAATATTAAATTAGGAAAAGTAATAAAATTATCGACTATTGATGACCTATTATATAATATAATTATACGAGCACAAAAATAAATTTTAATATTAGTAATAATTGAAAATAATTACGTTTATAATACTATCAACAAGTTATTTCGTGAAGTTTTTAAAATTAAATTAAACGTTTCATGGTCGACGTACTTAAATTTAATATAATCGTTCGCTATTTTTTGATTATATATTATTCTTTCAAAAGGAAACAACAGAATTTTTTTAAAAATTTTTACTTATAGTTATATGAAAAAAAGAGTTTGGACAAAAAAAATAAATATTATTTTAAGTTTTGTGACAGATTGCAGCAATAATAATATGATAAATACCAATTATATATATTACTTTATCGTTATACTCGATGGTCGCTATTGCAGTCTATGAGTGGAAAAACGTAAAGACACAATTTCGAATATTACAGTTATCGAAGAAATATAACATACTATAATTTATTATTTACTATAATGTATAAATATATAACATTCATATATTAATCTGTAGTGCGTGTGCAGTATATGTAGGGAACAATCGTACGCACCGCACCCCCTTTTTTAAAATTTTTTGTACATATTTTTATGGTCGGGGTATCGTCCTGAACGACCTAACACACAAAATCGATCCGTTGGCGGATTTGTCAACTACAACGCATCGACCCTGTTAGGGTAATCCAATAAAAACGTATCCCGGGATCGGGGCACATATAAAATAAAGCCAAAAACACTTATTTCCACCCCCTTTTGCAAACGTCACCGGTAAACGGTAGTCATCGCCATTGACCTCATAATATATAATCGTTTATGTATCTATATAATATAAATATATGCGCCGCAGCATAACGTAATTTAAATCGATAGACTACTAATTTTAACAATTCCAAAACTGGAGGAAATTTTTTTTTTTCAATTTTCAGATGTAAAAAAAAAGTATAATATTACAATGATGAAATGCATCTTGAAATTTACCTATGTTGAAATTATACGTTAAACCACATATTTGAGGAGTGCCATTCTCTGACCGGTCATACCATCGTGTATATTTGGTTGTCTTCCAAAGACGCCTGTAATATAGAATTACGTCCGGCGTATACAACATTATGATTTATTATTTTCAGAAAAAAACCTTGTATATCACAGAGAATGTTAAAAAGATCAGTCATATCACAGGAGACCATCACCCGCTTTGCGACAATAATTTAAAGAACAGTATATGAAACGTGTTAGAGTTTGTAAACAAGCTAGTATATTATAGACACTAATAATTAAAATAAATAAAGTACGATATTGTTATAATAGTCAAAACGATTATTTTTAAACACGAATTTAGTTTTTTTCTCTGATATAAGTGTGTTTAGATTTCCATTTTTAAATATAATTACGTTGCAAGGAACGAGGAATAGTTGAAACATGATCATATAACATTTAAGTATTACAATTGCGACTGCTAGTATAATATTATGAATATTCAAAGAGCTTAAAAAATAAATAAATAAATAAATAAAAACGATTTTCGTTTAACCACCTCCTTTCAGAAAATTAAAACCATAAAGTTTGCATGTAATAAATAATAGCTTCTCACTTTAAAATTATCTCAAATTTAAATCATTAACTGTTAGTTAAAAAAAAAAAAAAAACTTTGTAATAAAATATAATTTATGAATTATTAAGGTTTCGTAGTTATCAGTGGTTACGAAAGTTGAATATATTTAGATATATTGTGATATTTAATATACCTGCGATAATGTAATACGTATTTTACAATTATTGTGTGTCCAAGTATACCTATATTGTTTTATTTTTAAAAAAAATTACATAACAATAGGTATATTGTTTTGAAATTACTAGTATATTATAATTATGACTTACTATTAATTATCTCAAAAATTATTTATTTATAGGGATATTATTATCATATTTTTAAATTAAATTATTGCCCAATAACATTTCTTGATAGTTATTAAGTAGGTCCAAATATAAAACTTATTTAGTTTATGTACTTATAACAACTTTCTATTTTTACTAAATATTATTAAAAATTTAATTACAAAAAACATTAATTCACATAAAATGTACCATAATTTCATTTTTTGCAAAGAAGTATTGTTTTTTTAAAATAATCACATACAAAATAAATAGTATACATAAACCATTGAAATAAATAATACTAATAGTAATGGCACAAATAATTTATTTTTAGTCAAAATATTTATACTATTTATGCATTTTTTGTTTTATAAAACATGTTAAAAAATGTATTGTTTATTTATATTATTTATAAAATTTGATAGTGAGTACACTTAGATGTTCGTGTTTACCAATATTACATTATCGAAACATAAGATAAACCTATATATAGAAACTAACGGTTTAATGGTTTTAAAGGTTACGAGTTTAAAATATGTTATGGTAAAAAATCGTAATACTAAACATGTAATTATTATTATCAAAGTGTTTGGCTTGTCGAAAAAACATCTGCGAAACTTAATTATCATTTAGTAAACACAATTTAGACAACAATCATCGATCTTTATATATATTTTTTTTATTAATATTATGTATGGATATAACAAATATGTTATAACCGTTAAACAAAAACTTACAACAATTATACGTTTTAGTACAATGTAGGTATTATTATCTTATAAGACGAGATTTGGAAATTTAAATAATAAATTAAATTACAGTAAATTATTGAACTTAACGGAAAGAAACCATCGATTACATAATTATAATATATTTATATATATATAATTCACTAGTAGTATTGTGTATTATATTATTTGATTATTTGAACCTATGGTAAAAATATAAAATATGTATTTAATAACGATATACTGACCTTAGTGTACAGCGGTGGCGGCATTGACGGTGAAATAAATATAAAAAAATCGGTTAAATATTATAGGAACGCGTGAAGTCACGTCGAGACATAACCATTTTTAGTTGGAGAAAATAAAAAATGAACGAATTGATCCCAAACATAATATTAGGTGTGTTGCGGGAAAGGCGGCGCGTGAGCGAATGATGTGAATGTTTCGGGCGGAACGGGGAGCGAGAGAGATGGATGAATGAGTGAGCGGTGAAAGAACGGAACATGAAAAAAATTGGAATATTCTCAGAGTTGGCAGAAACGGCTTCGTGTGCGTGCGCGCGCGTATAGGGAGGGCGCCGAAGAGTGACCGTGGCCGATGGCCGGCCGTGTCGGCGCGCGTGCGCGGTCCGTCGAGCGTGTTGTCGGCCGAGAGCGTGCGAAGAGAATGTCGACGTTGTGTCCACGGTCATCTCGTCGTCGGGCGCGCGACACCACCGTCGGCGGCAGTACGTGCGTTTTGAACGCATCTCATTGGTTGCCCGGTGTCTTGTCGACACGCCCGCTGTCACCTCGCGCGACCGTTGCACGCGGTTGTGGCTATAGCTACTGCGGCTGCTTTCACTGGTTTCGCCATCTGTGGTTGTAGTCGCAGTGATTATCACCGAGTTCTATCAGCGTACAGATAGCGTTGTCATCGCTGCTGTGGACTACTCTAGCCGCGAGTGTAGATGACGTCCCTGTCTTGGGAACATTTGCATCGAGAGATTTATCGACCCCTAGATGGCGCGTCGTTTATGTCTCATATCTTTATTTTAACTTAATGAATATTATGACATAACGAGTTGTGCGTCCGTCCACGTAGCTATGTCCAACTTCTTGGGTCAGCACTATTTTTTGGGCAAATAGTAATCCTACTAATCCTAGCAACATAATGTTTAACGAGGAAAAAGCTTAATCATAAGATAAATATTGAAATTTAGTATACATAATTGTTCAGAAAATTTTATGTATACAGATTTCCTAAAAGCATTTAATAAGGTCGATTTTTCATGAAACTAACTACTTTTGGTATTGGCGGGAAATTCTTTTAATGTATGTTCAAGGGTACCGTAGGGTTTTCACTTATGTCCACTTATTTATAAATGGGGTTCAGATTTGAGGGCAAAAGCCTTTTTCTTAATAATAGTAATAGAAAAATAATTTTTATATAAAAATGTGTATCATTTAGTATTCAAGACGATGGATGTATATTTTTTGCCTTTTTTACTTATAAATGCATTTTTGATTTATAAATGACTTTTTTGTGTTTAATTTTCAATGGATTTGATAGTTTTATACACAACATGTATCTTAACGGTACAAATCAATAAGATCTTCTGAAGACGGTGCAATATTGTTTGTCAATTATTTTTAATGGGTTTTATTATCTGTGGTATTTATCGATATCGCTAAATAATACTTTATCGAGTATTTGGTATTGCCAGTTAATTTAACGTTTATAAAAGTACCTATACTGCGTACCTATCTATAGATTAAAATATCTTCTTAATGTGTAGATACTAGATTCAAGATTATTCGTCAGTCAACAATTTTCTTTTAAGTACAAACTAGTTAAAATATACAATATACAAACTATTACATTTTTTTATAAATTATGTAAATGCTTTTTTTGTTGCCTTTTTTGACATTTTAAATGTTTTTTTTATTAATTATATTGTCATTAAATTCAAACTCCATTTATAAATGATTTACCTATTATTTTTGATTTTTCTGTAAACGTAAAATACTTTGCCGATGATACTAAAATATTTTAAATACCTAGTTGAATTTCCTTCTGATGCATCAAAATGACAGTTTAACTTGGATAAATTTATTATTTTGAGTCAATATAGGTACATATTATGTATTTATGTAACTAATCGTTTACTGTTAATATAAATAAATGTAGTGTCATAATTTTCTCTCGCTTACAAAATTAAATTTTATTTAATTACTCGGTTAATCATGTAGTAGGTACATTTTAAAATAATGTTTTTTTCATTATCACAAAATTTGTTACAAATAAATCTTTCAAAATTTCGGTTTTATCTATAGAAATACTTAAAATTTAAAAATATTAACGCTAAAACTATCGTATTTCATACTTTTCAAGAATCATCTAGAGTTTGGTTAAACAGTTTGATGATGTTTTTGTATGGTTTATTAAGTGGTAATATTGATTCTTTCAAATGTTGGATTTAGTTTTAATACCTAATTTATGTACAAGGTCAAAAATGTATATATATATACTAGTTTCACTACATTTTTTCCAGAGTTTTTTCTTTAGTAAACAAAATTATTAATAGGTAACATTGATTTTATTTTTTATACCGAGACAAATTTTCAAACAATGTCTTTATACCCTTAAGTCTTGATGTTAATAGTTAATGATTACTTATCGTTATATGTTCACATTTTGAATTTATACATCATTATTTTATAATGTACATTAGTTTGTTGTCATTTAGTTATAAAATATTTTATCATGTATTAATATTAGTTCTTCTTTTTCTATTACTGTACAGGGTATTTACTTGTTAATAAATAAATAATTAATTAAATAAATAAATAAATTGGTTATTATTTAGGGTATACTATTTATTACCCAGTCAAATAGGTATATATGTGCTTACTACCTAACTAGATAGATTATCTGTAATAATTTGCGCGTTGTAATTAATGGCTTTACGAATTTTAATTAATGCAAGATATTTGTTGTATACACTGCACAATACAAACATATAATATGTACCTTATACCGCTATTTAATCAGTTATGAATTAAAAAAAGAACATTATAATAATTACGTAACACAAACTACATATACCGCGTGCATATATGAAAATCTTGGTGAGTCATATCTAAGTTAGGTGTACAAAAATACATTTTATTTAACTAATTCTGGTTATATGATATAAAATATATTGTAGTGATTTAAAAACTTAAAGCTTATTAAAATAAAATAGGTGTACTCAAACAAAATATTAAACTTACCTAGGATGCAATACACCCGAGATAATATACATTGGTTTCAAGTATTTGTGTAATATTGCCAACCGAGGTGAGTTGAAATGGTTTTGGCTTTCTACTTGGTTTTCTGAAAAAAAAAAAATACATAAGTTTAAAAAAGTTTATATTATATAATATCTTGTCGCATAAGCCGCAAAGAAACCACGAAGGTAGAAACACTAGAAACAAATAAATATTATCGAAATTAAGTATGTAAGTAGGTATTTGAATTTCATAAGTAATAGTTGTTGACTGATAACTATAAATTATAATTATTTATTTGTAAAATGAAAGTAAAAATATAATATAATAATTTTGAAATATCGTGTACTGTTTTGTTTATCAATATCACGTTTATCTTCATACGGTATTTGTGACTAATCAGACAGAGTCTAATATTTACAATTTATATATATAAGGAGTGTACAGGAGTAGGTTATTATTTTAATTTGACTTAAACTAATTAACAGTCAATGTATTATAATATTACTATTATAAACATAAGTACATAATAAGTAGGTAGGTACCCCCGTTCTACCACCCGGACTACATCAGTGGGCGTCTTGTTATTTTGATTGATCATCGACGATGTGCTGTGATAGATTGGTTTTAAAAATTAGTAAGAGTATTAAACTAGTGCATTAAGTGAAATTATGGACTTAATAGAATAATATATAATATATATATTTAACATAATTCTTTATTTAGCAATCTGTTACAAACAAATGAACAATAGGCTTAATTGATAACATATAATATACATATTAGTCAGTGGAATGACGGAGTGAAGAGATCTCTCATTGGGGATATTTCTCCGGGGGAAAAAAAGTTAAAATTTAATTAACTTAATTACTTTTTTTTTTAATACTTTTTTTCCTGATTTATTTTAGCAGGACACGATACCACTATCTTTTTAACCTTTTTTGAGGATTGCCTGGAATGGTTATGGATGCGAGTTGATTTATAAGAGAGTTTGTGTGTTGGGTTAATTGGCTATTGAAACGTTTATAATAAAGTTTAGCTAGTTCAGTGATAAATGGTATTTTAAAGTCAGAATGAAGGGATTTGTTAGCAATATATAATGGAGCTTTTGAAATAATATGAAGAATTTTTGTTTGGAATCTTTGAATACGGTTAATGTTAGTTATTTTTGCTGCACCCCAGAGCTGGATACTGTATGTTTAGATTAGTCTTAAAAGAAGTTTGTAGATAAGTATTTTTTTGGATGTTAATAATGGTCGTAAGAGACGAAGACAGTTATTTAGTATGATAATTTTGTTTTTGATGTGTGTTGTTCAAGTGAGTAGACGACCGATGTGAATTCCAAGATATTGCACACATTGGCATTAGGTAATATGTGGTTGTTAAGGAAAAGTGTCGGACATGTGCCATGTCGAAGAGTGAATGTACAATGAGTGGACTTGCTCTCATTCATTTTTACTCCCCATTCTTTATACTATGTTTCAAAAAGTGGATATAGTTTTGTATATAAAGAGAAGCTTAGTTTGGGTCGGCGCTGTTATCTATTACAGCTTTGTTGTCTGCAAAATCACCTACTAGGGTTTGGTTTGAGTTTGGCTGATCAGATATGAATAAGTTAAAAAATAATGGGTCAGTTACTGTGCCTTGTGGTACATTGGCATTAATTCTTACTGGATGGGATATAACAGAGCCTACACGCACTGAAAGGAAACGGTCTTCTAAGTTAGATTTTAGGATTAAATAATAATGACTGGGTAGTAGACGTAATATACAATATAAATCATTATTATTTATCGCTATAAAGTAAATAATGTATAGAAAAATAAAAAAACGAGTACTTGCATGTCTAGTTATTTAAACCGACCGACAGATGTCGTTGTATATTGGACTGAGAATAGCATAAATATTTATCTTTTAAAAAGTGAATATATTTTAGTATAAAACATTAAAACATACTTTTCCATAGAGTATAGAGTCAATAATAATAATAAAATATTTAATTTATAGAGGTAAAAGTGAATAGATACCATTTGTTAGATATGAGTTATTATTTATTACTTATTAGTTTCATATGTTTCGATGTAATTAAAGTACTAAATTATTTATGCATGGGTAAATAATAATATTATTTCCAGTTACGATAATTTATTATTAAATTAACGAGTTATGAGCGAGAATGATTCATATTATTACATTTAAGTAAAAATCGTCTTCTTGACATTGAAATAATTAAGTTATTTTTTTTATTAAAATAAACCCTGAGTGTTATCAGTAAGATAGTATTTACTTACATACTTAAGAAAACAAGCCTTTTCCCCGAAAATCACTTCACGAACTTCGAATCTCACTCGCGCTCGTGTTTTTCTCCGTTATATTATATTATAACTTATCAATTATTATATAATCGATATTCGATTTCGATAATAATTAATTAATTAGTTACATTCATATTATTATATTATAACAGTATAACAATCAAAAATTTTGAAGGATATGAACACTTAACACGATCAATTGAATATACTCGTACAATTACACAAACAACAAATGCTATTGATAACTTAATTTTTCATAACATATTATATAAGAGGATTCATTTAAGAATGTACATTAATTATATTTTGATAAGTTTTAGATTTTATAAAATAATTTGATATAAATGCAAAACAACATACAAAAAAAAAAAAAAAATTATATTTTAATATTTTTTTTATTTTTATAATTTTCAAGTGTTTTTAAATACATTTTTTTCTAAAATGTTGTTTTGCAATGACATCAAAAATAAAACTATATGAACAAACTTTTTGAAATATCGAGTGTATTAACAACTGTATACACTAAAACATATCATTCTTTAATCTTTATAAACCGTTTTATTTATGTATAAACTATTCAATATATTATTTCGTATATTAGTGTACACATATTATAGTAGGTAAATGGATTGTTATTTGACATTCGTTAATTTTAATGTATTTTTTTCAATTGATATTTAAAATTTTTTATACTTATATTATTTGAATATGTACTTACATATAGTTAATAGACTGTATAAAAAAATATTCATAGTTAATTTATTTAAGTAAAAATCACAATCACGTATAGTAAATACTTAATAGAAGTAATAGAACATAACGGAAATGACTAATTAACAGTATTATTCCAAAATAATATCAAATATCGACTAAAATTTTTTTTCTTGTAATTATTAAAGTATGTTTTTTTTATCATAATTTAATAAATTAATATAAACAGTGTGATTATGTAAATTACTTTACAAACGATTAAACGGGTTAGGTAAGTACCAAAACAACTTGAACGACGCTGACTATAATATTATGGAAAATTTAACGTGTCGTATACTCAGTATTTTGATTCATTTCAATGGCTGTTAACGAATTGTGTCCCTAGGTTTATTTTCAGGTTGCATGAGTTTCGTTTAAGTGTCTAACTAATATAAATAAAAAGTAAAAATAATTATACAAATAATTTTAACAATATTTCACATTAAGTAAACATTTTTAACTAAGAAATAATTTTTTTTTCATGTGTTGTCTTTGATAATTGTCTAGTATTTCAAATTTTAATGTAAACATCACATTGAAAATTCTTTATCACTTCAGTAAATTGAAATATATTGGAAAGGCTTGAATATTCCTAACACATAATATAATTTCTAGTGAAATGGTTCACAACAGTTAGTTATTATTATTATTTTTATTTTCATTTAAATATTTGAATAGCATACATACATATAAATTAATACAAATATTTATACTTATTAAAATAACACATTTATACATAAATGATTGTCTCCGTACAGTTGCGCGTAATAATGAATTGCATGATTCTGTCCATACATAAGGAGGAAATAAAGCATTATGAATAAGCATACAACTTGTATAAAATTTAATAAAACAGTTTGGACACAATACTATCAATTATCATGTACTCCGCTTCAGTGGTGTATTTAAGATTTTGCTGCCCTGAGTATACATTTCTTTAATACTCTCTTATCCCCCCTGATTTTTTCATATTGGCTGACAATTATTATCATTTATAAAAAAACTTAAAACACATGTGATATGGTAATAGCATTATGCAGTATATAAATTTGCCGAGTGCTCCAGAATGTTGAATGTCTTGGGTACTCTCAGTAGCACACGTGATAGTAAAATTATCAAAAAAAATTGTAAAATGTATTAATTTATTTTTTAACTATTTATAAATAGTGAACACATTAAAAATTAATATAACATAAATATTTAAGAGAAGAAAAACGAACATAATTAAATTAATATTTTTCGGTATGCTTTTGATCTTGAAAATCTTCAATTATTTTATCATAACTTAATGAAGTTGCCAACTTAGTTTCAATATTCAGAATTATCAAAGGGCAAAGAATTTAAACGATTATCATTCATCGGAGAATTGTGGTATGATTTAATCCTTTTAAGCGTAGTGAAAGAACGCTTTGCTGAAGTATTTGATGTAGGGACACATTAAAACATACGCTACGCAATATTAACTTATGGATAAATATCAGATAAATTTTCACAATGAATGATGTTACAAATTCTAGCACTCGATTTTGTACATACATTTTCTGGTAAGCCTTTTAAAATGAATACATTTTTCGAAAAAAAAGTAACACAAAAATTTGCTGCTCGAGACAATTATCTCTCATTACCCCCTCTCTCCTTAAATGGATAACATTGAACGAGTCCCAAATATTGAATTGAGTTCCGCAAATACTTTTGGGTTATCGGAGTTGAGTCCGACCAATATTGTAAGGTTATTCGAATAGAGTCCCCTTCTTTAATTATAATAATAAATATAAAGAGTCAATTAATTAAAAAATATTAAAAATAATAATAAATAAAGGTACTTTTTACCTAAAGAATAATTTTTTATCAACAGTTATAGAAAAATATTAAAAAAAATTGAAAATTTGTCATAGGTGCCTATGAATATTTCAAAAAGAGTTAAAATTTGTTGAACATTTTATCATAATATAGGTATTGAAAAAAACAATTAAAAAATTTCAAGTACACACTTATTTTATTATTTTTGGAAATATAACAAAATATTAAAAATTGTTTAAGG